TGACTCTTAGCATCCATTTTAGGGCTAAGAGCAGACCTGAGCTATTCCTTCAGATTTTTCTCAGAATTGTACTCCCCAACAAAAGGGCTTATGCATTCTTTTATTGAAACAGTATCTCCAGCATGAAATGGGGAAGTAAAAATCAGACCATTCTCTTAATGGAAATTTTGCCATTTCTGATTCCTAGACCTAGACTAATTCACATACACAATCATAAACAGAGAGTATCAATTTCTTTCATTGTTTGCAATGAGATAGAAATGTTTGTAGCACTTGATATGTAAACAAGCATACATTCATACATTATTTTAAGTTGAGGGCAAGGAAGGGTCATGAGGGATTAAGGCTACATGTCCAGGTCACAGGAGGTACACATGGCTCAGTGAACTTGAGTACATTATAAACAGCTAAGATAAGATTAACTTTTTGGTTACAAAACAAGGTTAAGGAAAAGTCATTTGTTCAGAGTATGTCCATATTGTACAGTTTGGACCCCCAGAACCCATATAAAGCCAGGTGTGGGAGCATGTATCTCTAATCCTAGTGCTCCTATGGTGAGATGAGAGGCAGAGACAGGAGGATTCCCAGAATTGAAACCAACTAGCTTGGGGCATTTGGCAGTCAACAACAAAGACTGCCTCCAGGTGGAAGGTGAGGATCAACACCCAAAGTTGTTCTCTCACCTCTATACTTGTGCTGTGGTACATATACCCATGTGCATACCCCCTTCCCACAACACATACAACACGCTATATGCGCATACAGAAGAAAATATGTGTTACTATGTCACAGAATTCACCTCTGCCTCACACCTCATTCTGTCAATGTCTGTAATTCCTATGGGTTCGTCTTCTTTTTTTTTTTTTTTTATCTTTTTGAGTCAGGGTCTCCCTGTAGCCCCAGCTGGCCTGGGACTCACTATGGAGACCAGGCTGGCCTTGAACTCACCGATATCTGCCTGCCTCTGCCTCCCCAGTGCTAGAATTAAAGGCATGCCTCACTATACTTGGTGGGTTCCCAGTTCTTTAAGAAAAAAAAACAAAAACAAACTAATAAATCCATAGAATGACAAACTTTTCCTGTCAGTAGACAGCAAATATTTTTGGCATCATGGACCCTCCAGTCTGTGCCATACTGATGACCTCTGGAGTTGGAACACCAAAACAGTCAATGAGAGAACATGAATGAATAAAGTTGCTGTGTCCTCCAAGACTTTATGAATGCTGAAATTCAAATCTCATATAGTTCCTTGATATTTCAAAATAGTATTATTATTTTATTTTTCCCTGTCTATTTAAAAATGCAAGAACTGCTGGGAGTGGTGGAGCATGCCTGTAGTCCCAGCACTTGGGAGGCAGAGGCAGGTGGATCTCTGTGAGTTCAAGGCCAGCCTGATCTACATAGTAAGTTCCAGACCAGCTGAGGCTACAGAGAGACCGTTTCAAAAAAACACAAAGCAAACAAACACACAAACAATGCAAGAATCATTCTTAATCTACATGACTTAAAAAGTAGCATTAGGGCAGACTGGTTGAAGTTTGCTGACTCTTACTCTACTTCTTGGAGTGATAATTTAAGGAAGGCACTCCCTGCATATGCCTGCTATTGATTTCCCCTTAGCAACCTCAAGGTAAAAGGTAATGTGCAACATAGAATTTCCCACAAAGCACCAGTGGGTAGTACTTGACAAGACTTTAGATGGCAAAACACAAAATAAGGTTCTTTTAGCCTTTCCATTTACTGGGGAAAAAATAGCTCATGAGACTGGAGAGATGGCTCAGTGCTCTTGTAGAGGACCCAGGTTCAGTTCCCAGCACCATGTTCAGTTTCCAGCTAACAACCTTCTATAACTCCAGTTCCAGGGGATTTGACACCCTCTTCTGGCCTCTACAGCCATTGCACATATGTGGTGCACTTACATACATACATAAATAAATAAGAAATAAGAACAGCTCACATAATTTTAAACTCCTTAACTTCTGCTGGCCTGTCATGCCACCTCCAGTGGAGCCAGCGTGAGGAACTCTCCATGGGTCGAGGCTGAGAAAACTTCAAAGGAAGAATGCTTCCTGGAGAATGGCTGTCTTAAAAAAGCATGCTGTGTCCTTGGCTGTTCTGCTTTAGTTCCTGTCTTTATTGCTGTCTTTATTCCTGTTCTTTCCTCATAAAAGAACTGCTTTGTACCTACTCAGGTAATTAGGCCCACCTGAAGAGAGACTAGATACAGATGATTTCCTGGGAACTCAGTTACCCAATATTAGACTTCCTCCAAATGCTCCTCTCTTATTTCAAACAATAAGTACAGTAGCTAAGAATAGGCAACCTTGGAAAATTCTAGATAAGTTACAGCATGAAGAATTATTTATAAATAATCCCCCTGCTTCATTCC